GTCCTACGGTTTCACCTCTTAGAATTAGAAAAAGTAAGTGTCTTTTATATAACGAGGGAATACATTATGGAACCAGTTTTGATCACCTGACAATATTCGATTATACTCACAACGATCGAATCGAGATAAGATATCGATGACCCGTTCGGAATTTGAAATTTTGAATTAGTTCTTTTTGATATGGAATATCGGTTTTCAAAAATGGAATACGGTTCTAGTCTCATATTCCATTTATGAAAAACTTTAGGGATCTGTCAAATACTAAATATAGTTACTGCCTTTTTAATTTTTTTTACCCTTACTTTTAATAGTAAAATATAGTATAGCAATTTCATAATATGATATTTCCCATATCAATTGAAAACCTGTCTGCGCTATGTTGTAACGGTGTGTAAGATCAATCACACTTTTCGCATGTCCATGTTAATTATATTTCAAATTTTTAATTAATACAATCTTGGGATTAACCCATCGAATTAATTTACGAAATGTGATAATTAAAAATTATTACGTCACAATACTTTGTAACACGTCATTTTTTTACTAAGCGCCATCTATTGTTCGAACCAATAATTGGGACTCATTAGCTTATGATTATTATACCAACATCTTTACCACAACGCATGCATACGATTCAAACTCCCGCGCTCGATATTTTGAATTTGGAACGCGGCTTTATTTTTTTAATGGCTTTTATCTCGCCCTCCAGCCAGATTCAGATTGGGTTACACTCGTTATACCGCATTGTATACTTTTTTTTACTAATATTACCATTTCTGAACGACTGTACATCTCTATAGCCGATGGTTTTTAAAATTTAAACAAGGAACTATTGTATGTGTATCTAACAGATTTTTACTTTGAAGGAGGTCCTTATAATGACAAAAACTGATTGTTGACAAAAAAAAATATACTGCTAATGACACTTGCGTAAGTTTCTGATAGATTTTAATGTTAATAACCTCAAAAGACGAACGTCATAAATTATTTAAATTTGAATTAAGAATTATACTTTAAAAAGAGAATAGAGTTTTAAATAAAGAACAAGTTTGAAATTACGTTTTATCCAACACATTAATATTACAAAGAGCTCGAAATGTTTAATGAAACGGAAATGAATCTAACGGTATTTTTTTCTTTGTACAAAAAACTTAAGACGAGATATAAAGCGACGTATGGGATTTCAACAAAAAACTGTTTTTGATATTAACAATTAAAACAGGTATAAAGGCTTTAATTATTACCTACGCCCGCGACTCTTATTTCGTATAGTTAGAATTTTAATATGAATAACAAACAAACATACTATATTTCGAATTGTATAATTCATACACAATCAAATGGAATATATCTAAAACCTATTGTAATTGGAATAACCAAAGGTCAAACAATACGTGATCATACCGAAGTAAAAAATACCACATCGATGAATACCTAAATCATTTAAATTGTTAATATAGGAACAGGTACAAAAACTCACTTATCATTCATACACTTAAAAAGAATTATCCTATATTATAATATCCAATAACGTTTTTGATTTATGTTCGAAATTCGAAATTTAAAACATGGCCGGCGGCGGTCCTGTCACAGCGGACCTGATTGGTCTATACGTATGTACCCAAATTACTTTATGTATTCATTTTGTCTATCTCTTTTAAACGTTTTATTTTTTATAAATGGCCAGTTTTCGATAATTCAAATCGACAAATTCAATTTAATTTTTTTAAATAGCATTTTCTTATCGACCTGCTACTTTTTTGTTATTAAAAGTAAAGTTTAAAACAAGAATTTAAGAATTCTATATATCTTTATTAAACACCTTGTTCTGTTCCGTTTACAGGCACTCATTAAAACCTAGCCCTTTTTATGTTACTAAGTCGTAAACGTTATCTGTAACGTGGCTAAGTGATTTACGATGTAGGTCAGATTTGTTAGTTTACGGGCCTCGAACCTGGGACCCTCTTTATGACGCAACTATAACTTTTATAACCATACCAACATACGTTTAGTCACATGGAATTTTTATTGTTTTATTAACGATTTGTGTGGTTTTAATGACTATGCGGATAAAAAATAAACACATCTGCTTGGTACATTGTCAACGTCAAATGTGAGGTAAATCTTCAAGCTCCTTTATGAATATTAAAAAAAAAACTGTTTACATATATCGATTATACGGAAGAATTAACATTACTAATGGTGTGGTTAGTTATTGTATATGATACGTAGATAGCATAGTAGCGCGTAAACAAAACTATATATAAACTTTAAGATATATTAGTTTGTATAAACTCGGTCAGTAGCAAAAAAACAAGTGCGAATCAGCTCAATTTAAATCTCGACCGGTTTTTATTTAAATCGATGAAAAGAATCTTAACCCATCGAAATGTCGGACGAATACCTTTGAGTGCCGGTAAATAAAAGTATTAATACTTTAATATATTCCTATACTTTACGTATAATTTAAAATGTGGCTATGGAATTTGAATTTTAAAAATGACAATTTCCGCAAATAAACCATAGATTCTATTCGCGTCAAATTAAGAACGTGTTTATTATTTATAGTCAAATCAACGTCGGAATAAAAATATATCTGTCACATAACATTTCACGGTTGATTTAGTAACGGAAAACATGAATATTAATTAAATCATACGCTAAAATAAATGTTATATGATGAATGTTGCAAGGTACCAAAATATATGGAACAATTTACGGATGTCAAAATATTCTATGAAATCAAAACTTGTTATTTTAATAAAAAAAAAGTTCCAATTTGCGCTAGTCACACCCACAGGCCGCAAATTCAGGGTTGGCGCGAAGCTAGAAAATAGTAATAGGTCTTTGATTGAATAAATGATTTTTTAACAGCAGTAACACTTAATGGGTGTTAAATAAAAGTTATGTGTACTTTAATCTATAATTAATAATAAAATGTAAGCATTTAGTATTCTACCTTAAATAGATAATAAGTCGTGATTATAAACAGAAAACTATCGTTTGTTTTTATGTTTAAAAATGTCGGCCATGACAGCCCTAGGTAAGCCGCATTAGTGCGGGAAGTGGGTAGGTATTACAAAAAAACCCTTTTAATCGCACATCGACCGTGGCACAGATATAGCGCCCACGCCTTGGCGCACTGACAGCCCTCAAAACTTTAAAAATAATTCCCGCATACCTTTATAAATGTACCGGACGATACTGATTAATTTGTTTTTACACTTGCCAAACGTACAAGGATGTGTTTTTAAATACTCTACTTAAAATAACAACAGATCGCAGCGTCTTGCGAATTTGGTTTATTCAGTATCCAAAAGCCTCGTATCTGTTTCATCGAAATCAAACTTCGACGTTTAAATTGTGAAGCCATAATCTTGGCGTTCTAAATTTAAAGTTTTGATGTTAGTAACGATAATCGCCTCGGATTCGGGAATTGGGACCGAGAATGTCGTAATACCTCATTAAAGCCATCAACACCATACCGTCTCATCATCATATGTTTTTATACGATAATGACACTTAGAATTTATGTTTAAAGGCTATTATTGCGTGTGGTGAATGGTAGTTATGTTGTTTACAATTTTCATGGGACGCTGATCCGCATTTGGATATCGAAAGAGTTACGATGACAAACTTGTTCCAATGAACGGATTATTCGAATTTTATTCAAAGTTTACTTTTAATTCTTTGAGAATTTACAGATTATTAATAAAAATACTGATTTTTTCATACTTTTTGGGGCAGTTTTTTATAAAAATAATAATAAAGCCACTTTAATTCAATACCGTTATCTACGTACTGTAATCGACGGCCCCTTTTGGGTAAAGTCCTCCTGAACTTTCCATTTGGTTCTGTTCTTAGCTCCATCCATTTCTCCCCACGTTTCTTTTTCCCCCTCCAGCGGGTTGCTTGTTGTTAGGACTAGGTGAACTAAATGTCTTTACAAGATTCATCAAAGATTGATTTATTCAAGAGGAAACACTCACAGTTATAATAAATTCAAAATTAACGCGCATTTTATAACTATTTTAGTGTATTCCTGTAAATTAGAAAAAGCTGTCGATTAGGAAGACGAACATAATTAGCTGTCAACGGTTGCACTGTTTCCGCTTCCGGCGTTGTTCTATTTTCAAATCCGCTAAGGTCCTTCAGACACCTGCTGTTTATTACATTACGCCGCTAAATTGTTTTTGTAATATGTTAATTTCTAAGTTAATTATGGAAAGAAGATTAGGGGTCGGATTTTATGGGGGCTCTTTAGATTGATAGGCGATGCCATGTTTTATTTCTATCTCTTTTTATTTCTTTAAAACGAAGCACCGTACCATCTTGCTCCTCATCACATGTTTAGGTACCTATACGTAATCATTGAAATACATCTCAAGTAGTAGAGTAGATACTCAAGTATCTTTTAAGTCCGTTAAAAATTGTTGCCATATCATAAAATTAAAAATCATTGGTTTTCCGATTTTTTTTTTGTTTTTTATGTGGCAAAGTGTTAAGTGATACCACCGCTCATGGGCACTCACATTGCCAAAGAACTCGCAAGTCGCTTTTAAGAATTGGTACGATCCTTTCTTGAAGTAGTCGAATTGGTTCGGAAAATCGTTAAAATAATTCAGTATTTTAATGTATGGAGAAATATTTTTGTATTTATTTCACAGTAAAGTTTTTACTACAGTACGCAAACGGCAGTTGGTCCACGGTTCCAAATGTATTCCCTTTGTTTCTATTGTTGTGTTTTTGTAGCATTGTATACTAACATTAGTTTAAAGGTCGTATTTCGATGTTCGTGCGTTCAACTGGAGTCGCTGAACTTTGGGCACAGTTTAGAATGAGCAGTGTTTTTTATCTCCAGTACTAGTGTACTACAGTGGGCAGGTTACACATATTAAATGTGAGATACTAGAACTTCAAAACAGTGACCAAATTAATGTTATTCAATTGTTTTTTTATTACTACAAAAGTCGAGTTTAAAAAATTTGTTTAAATTTGTTATGGAAGAGCTAAAAGAGGTATTTTATACTTAAAATAGTTCCCAAATCTTACACATTGTAATGCATATCAATATATGCATATCATAAGGCTTTTAGGTTATATCCTACTGCTCTCAATGTCCTATGTTTCCAATTTACAGCATTATAAAATGCACTCTATACAGGGTGTTTAAGATTTAAAATTGAAAGCGTCTAGGCATTACGCTATAACTACTATTAATAAATAGCCAGAGTAATTCTTCTAGGACTCAAACCCTGGAACTATTTACATGTAAGCTACATCCTAGGGAATTGAACCTCGGGACCTCTTCAGTTAGCAGTAATTATCAAGCATGCTTGCAATGCAAGTCCAGCATACTCCATCTAGGTGAACAGCTCGCTAACCAATGCATTTCTGCAGGTGCACGAGCTTTGCGACAACTTCTGCCACCGCTACATCAGCTGTCTGAAGGGCAAGATGCCCATCGACCTGGTGATCGACGAGCGGGAGAGCGCACGCCCCCCGGACGCGAACGGCGAGCGGTCGGCCCCCGACTCCAGCCACGACGGAGCCTCCACCCCCGACGTCGTGAGTACCCCCTATAGCAAAACCCATCTCATTCAGAGGCGCGATCCCCAGCTAGCACCCAACTCGACAACGAGTTATCTCGTGCACCCCTGTTCTTAGTTTGGCCATTGCAAAAACGAAGTCTATAGAGGGGTGCTCGCATTTTAGTTTTTAAACGCCTCCCTCGCTTGTAAACGGACCTTCCGAGGGCTTCCCACGAAGCCTAAGGAATTTCCGCTAGTTTAAGTTAAAAATCTTCGTTTTTGCAATTGGCCAACCCTTTGACGCTGTAAAGTTTCATTCAAAGTTTCAAAATAATTGACAGTGAAGGGGTGTTTCGGGTGCGATCGTTTTTCACCGATTCGACATCGACGTTGCGCCGTCGGTACTTATTTTGCGCTGCATTGTATACGATTTAACTTAAACTACGTATAACGTTGAATGTATGTTAATACTAATAACTTAGTGAATAATCTTATCTCTTCTTATCGGGAGCCGTTAACTCTTCTAGCGACTATAACTGAGCTTAGTTTAAATTAGGATATTTGGAGAACTATTTGAAAACGAAGTATACGTAACACACTTTAACTTGCCTAAGTAAAGTTTTAATTAGGAATTTTAAATTATTGTCATTGTTTTAAAGGTGGTAGCTGCTAATCCTTTTGGCTAGAAATACGTAAATAGTTAATAATTTGCGTTACTAACGAAGAAGCACTATAAAAATAGAGTTCTAGTTAGGTCAATGGTTATACGTACTTGGTATACGCTAGGTGTAACATTAGGTCCGTTATGATTCGATCGCTATTTACGCCAGTAGGCGATCTATCGCCGCTGACAGTAAATACGATCGATTATCATGATTGGATATTATATAATTGTATGTATGTGTTAGAGGTAGGCGCTTCAATGATATACACTTAGGTTTCGCGAAGAGAGCTATTATTTGCTGTATTTTTGTACATTGCAAAGCCTATTGGAACAGTTGGAAATCAATCGCCGATCAATTCTGTGGCGGTTCTGTGTGACATTTGACAGCTGACAAGTGACAGGATTGGTTGGAGTCGCGTTTTGTTTAATGCTAAGATATTTTTGGGCGTTGAGACTGATTGTTTTGTTTGTGTTATATATTTTTGTCAGTTTGTTAACAGCCATTACTTATACAGTTCTTAATCTGGTTGGTTCGGGAGTATTTTATATGTATATGAGTTTTAACATGTAGTTGATTGTCTAAGTTAGGTTTTAGATATTAACGCGGTAGATGTTCTGAATTTTCTCAATTAAATCTTAACTCGTATTGTATATTGCTATTTGGTGTACGTCCATCTTGTATGTCAATGTGATTTTAATTTTTTATTTTTCTGAACGGATTAAACAATAAAATGTTCTGTTTGAAATATCTTTGGATTTTATTTATAACAGAACTCATTTGGCACTAATCACTCGATACCATATAATCTATACTTCAATACCAGAGACAATTTATCTGTTTTAACGAAGTAATGTATTAAAACAGTTACAGAAGGAGACAGTCTTGTCGATCAAGTAAATCATATAATTTAAAATCAAATTTCCCAAGAGGAAAAATCCAGGAAAATCAATAGGTCCAAAATAACATTGTTAACTGTTTCAAAGCGGCGTGTTTTAAAGGGAATATTTAAGGGAAATATTGTATTTTTATCATGTACCGGGGATAAGCTCCCCCGACGGCGAGCGTTGGAAAATTGTTTCTTTACAACCCCCTACGCGATTATCTTTTGCGGCTTTCCGCGCCGTGAACGCACTGCGGGAAACTTGGGAAAATAGGTTACAGAATAGATTGACAAAAGTTGTGTCAAGAGAATTGAATAAGGGAATTTGGTTCAATGCATTAGATAGTAAGTGGCAAATACTATAGGTATCAAATACTTTTGGTATCAAATACTTTTGGTATCAAATACTTTAGGTATCAAAATACTATTTTAATTTAAATACTAATTTAAAAGAAGTAATTTCCGATGATAATAATAAGTGCCCCGTGGTCACCCACTTATAGGAGAGACATATTGTTTAGCGTTGAGACCAAGATAAAACTGGTGGTGGTACTTGGTACTAGGAAGGTAGGAAGGAAGATAGAGGAGTCTACATTAAAAAATAACATGATCATTATATCAAAAACCAGTAGTGCGGATAAGGACCGTCTCGTGGATTCTTTTCAAGAGCGGTTTTCGTGCGACAATCTGATATTTTATTTATTTTTTATAGTCTGCCATTGACGTTTGATGGATGCCGATTGCGATGCATGCTGAGAAAGTAGGGGTCACGATAATTGGTACGAATATTTTGGGAATGGCGGGAAATTTGAGTGACAGTAATAGACTAATTGAGGTTCTTATTTTAAATAGCAAAGAGGTTCTAGCTTTAAAAGGAATTATGAGCTGTTGTAACCGATCCGATTATTTGAATCAAGCCGCTATATTCTCTTGAAGAAAAAAAACTGGCAACTAAGATATTTCTTTATCTGTGTAGTTTCGTTCACAAACAAAACTAAGATACAAAAAATAGGGAAAAATGTCCCGCAATTTTTACAAAAGAACGCAGTACACACAATGAATAATTTAAGAGCATTGGGGTAATAAAAAAATAATAAAAATAAGGGGACAAAGACGGGATTTGATCCCGGATAGAGCGCAATTCGTCACGGATTCGTCACAGTGTCGACAATACTCCAGGGTTACCAGTTATGTTTCCCCATTATCCAGGAACGAGGGAATTTATCCCTTGCAATGGTACCCAAGTAAGATTACAAATGATAAAAGGAAGAAGAATAAAAATAAAAACAAAAACATTAAATGATGTCCCTTTTACTCACTAAGAAATTGGAAAGAGACAGAAAATTCTTGTGCATAAAGTACATCCTTCTAAGTATTCATACTGTTTTTCGTTAAATGAAAATATCTAATAAACAAAAGGATTACAAAATCTCATTGGTTATGTACAGTTGCGCAGTCGAACCTGCTCGCACGCATACATCAGATTGTCAGTCCGTCTGACATGACTGCTTTATTACGTAGTATTTCTCGCCAACTTTACATATTGATTCATAAATTTCTTTAATTAAATCTGTAAAATATAAGTCGCCATCTTTCCGAAATTCCAAGATCCAATAAAATCCTGTAAATACACAAATAAATCATTAAAATATTTGTCCAACGGCAACACATAAAACGCATTGTTTTATATACGTTTAAATGGCTATGCAAACCGAATTTAGACTGCATCAACAAAATCCATTTTGGCGGCAAAACGAAGACGCCGCCCGCTCATAAAGCGCTTTTAAATTTCGAACGAGCCGCCATTGGCCGCCCGCTCGCCAATCTCGCTGAAACAAATTTTACGACAACGCTGGCCACACCGAGCACTATTTACGACTCCTGAGAATCGCAAATAATTCTATTAATAAATTAATCGTAAATGCCGTGTAATTTATTGTCATGGCGTTCCCCTCTAATTATTTCCTTTATTAGAAATATTTGTTATTACCGCTTTTACGGGCTAATTCTGTTGAGGTTTGCAATAAATATTGTAAATATACTCAAGACAAAGAACAATTTCAGGTCTTTGCTTAATTATCTAATATGTTAGGTGGAAGTACTTTACCAACTTGACATTCATCTCAATAAATGCCTAAGCTATTTCGTCATTTTATACTTTCATCCTCTCCTAGAGAGAGAGATATTCATATTCTCTCTTTCTCAAGTCGGTAGCTCATGTCTTTCCATCGTTGTCAGACGTAAATTAATCAATAAAGTTTTTTGTAAATTTGACGATTATTTAAATGATCCTAATCTTGGGACTGATTTGCTCCAGTTCAGACAATTTGTAAGACTCACACTTAGCGATTAAACAGAGTGGCGGAAAGTTTCTTGCTAGTTCTTCTTGCCCGCTCTACGCCCTTGACTTGCGAACTGGCAGTCAATGTAAATTTAGAATCAATTTAACTTCTTTTCTAACGTTCATAAGTGTACTTGTTTACCTAAATGAATAAGGTTATTTTGAGTTTGATTTTGAGCAAGGAAACGGACTATCTGCTTCCACCAGTTTCTGTCCAGCGACTCAACAGTGTACAGTTTTGACGAAGGTGATTCTTTCATATGATCTGTCTAGGTGTACCACACTCCAAGTTCTCATTGCCTCTGCGCATTGTTATGACAGGTGAATCATTTATTTATATAGGTAACAAAATGTACACTTATGAACGTCAAAAAAATAAATATATATGAAATGCTTCTAATTTTACATTTACTGCCAGTTTACATATCAAGGGCGTATAAAGGAAGAGAAGAACTGGTAATAAACTCTCCGCCACTCTTTAATCGCCAAGTTTTGTTTTACATGTTTGTGGAGTGAATACACCACGTTCCACATGACATTTAAGTAATTAATAATAGTAAAATAATTCGATCGATGTCGCACATCGCAGTATACGGTGTTCCTAACATTCGTCTCCAGCACCACATCTCAAATCCATCCCTTGCAATCCTTTTATATTTATATTAAAAATCAGAATCCACTAGTCCAATAGATCTTTGATAATAAGACATCTCCATAAAAGTCATCAAATGAAATCGTCCATATAAATTGTCTAATTCAAGAAATGGAGGCGGTAAAGAATTTCTATTTAGCAACAAAAGATATAATTATTTGAAAAAGAGCCCGCTGTGCCCCATTTCACGAAGTACGAGAAACTGCAGGGGGTCTATATCTTTATTAGGAATTGATTGAGCGAATCTATAGATCTATTTCTTGGCTCTTATGATTTTAAATAATAATGTTAAAACGTATGTAGGCCTTATTAACTCAATGGCATTAGTAAAGAAGATTGTCAAAGGGGTATGGAGCGTTCTATTTTTCGGTTGAAACTTAAAGACAAAGTTAAAAACCTTTTTAGGTCTGGTACCTCAGGTATCTGTATCATTATCATCTCTCAATCTTATAGACACGTAAGTGATCAGCCTGTGCCTGACAGACACCGACTTCTTTAAATAGAAATGGGAGAAATGTCACATTTCTGCGTCTATTCCACTTATTAGAGTGGTGGTGTCATACACCATCGAGCCTACACAAATAGAATACAAATTACT